GCAGGTGTGATAGTAGAATGAATCAGACATTATTTCCCTATGTTCATATATTATTACACGGCCAATGTAACTCTACATCATGTAGAACCAGAAGAATGAGAAGTTATACTCCATTTATGTATGATGTGTCAAAATGCATTCTATTGTCATGCATAACTAATTAGAACAAATAAAATATAGGAAAAAATAATTAACAAATGGAATCCCATAAATTAAAAAGCTTCTGCACAGCAAAGGAAACTATTAAGAACAGTTAATATTCTTAAGAGAGAATTCTGAAGAGAAAACCTATGGAACAGGAGGAAATATTTGCTAGCTACTCTTCTGACAAGGATTAATATCCAGAATACAAAAAGAACTCAAAAAACTGAACACAAAAAGAAAGCAAATAATCCAATTAATAAATGGGCAAATGAACTAAACAGACATTTCTCAAAAGGAGAAATACAAATGGCCAACAAATATATGAAAAAATATTCAACATATTTAGCAATTATGGAAACACAAATCAAAACTATACTGAGATTTAATGTCATGCCAATCAGAATAGCAGTCATCAAGAATACAAGCAATAATAAATGCTGGAAGGGATGTAGGGAAAAGGAGCACTTTTATACTGTTGAGAGGACTGCAAATTAGTACAACCAGTACAGAAATCAGTATATAAAGGTTCCTCAAAACACTAAGAGTGAAACTACCTTATGATTCAGCTATACCACTCCTTGGTATTTAACATAAAGAATTAAAGTCATACTATATTGATACATGTATATCCATGTTTATACCAGAACAATTCATAATAGCCAAACTATGAAACCAGTTTAGGTGTTCACCAAGAGATGAATGGCTAAAGAAAACATGGTATATATACAAAATGGAGTTTTATTCAGTCATATAGAAGAATGAGCCAAGCACAGGGACACACGTCTATAACCTCAGCAGCTCAGGAGGCTGAGGCAGGAGTATCACGATTTCAAAGCCAGCCTCAGCAAAAGTGAGGTGCTAAGCAACTCAGTGAGACCCTGTCTCTAAATAAAATACAAAACAGATCTGGGGATGTGGCTCAGTGGCCAAGTGCCCCTGAGTTTAATCCCTGGTTACACCACCACCCCCTGCGCCAAAAAAAGAAGAATGAAATTATGTCATTTGCAGGGAAATGGATGGAACTTGAGAACATTATGGTTAAGCTAAGTAAGCCAAACTCCAAAAGCTAAGAGTCATATCTTTTCATTCATATGTGGAAGCTAGAGAAGAAAATAAGAAAGAAATGTGGAAAGGGTGGATCTCATAAAAATCAAAGGGAGATCAGAAGAGAAAGTGGTGTCGGGTAATAGGTAAATACTATGGAACAATCAAATTAGACTGTTATATTGGGTGCCTGGATGATTATGTAACAACAAATCCCACTATTGTATATATTAACAATGCACCAATAAAAATATGGAAAAAACAAATATTTGGAATTCAGAGAAGGGAAAAATCACAGTGGAATAGAATGGTTAGAGAAGGAGTTATAAAAGAGGTAAAATCTAATTAGAACTTTAAGCAATAAGTATTAAGAGGGTAGAAAAGTTGGAAAGACCCACCATGTTCATAGCAGCTTTATTCACAATATCTAAGAATAAGATAGATAGCAATAAGATAGAGAACAATCTAAATGTCTATCAACAGATGAATGGGTAAAGAAAACATGGTATATACATATAATGGGATATTATTCATCCTCAAAAAGAGGGAAGTCCTGCATGGACAACAATGTAGATGAACCTAGAAGACATGCCAACTGAAATAAGCTAGTCACTGAAGAACAAATACTGCATAATTCTACTTATATGAGGTTTCTAAACTAAACACACACAGAAGCAGGAAGTAGAAGGAGGGAAAAACGGATAAAAGTTATGTTATTCATCTACAAGATGAATAAGTTCTAGAGACCTACTGTACAACATACAGTAGGGCCTATAGTTAAGAAAACTATATTGTGCACTATAAAATATGTCAAGAACCAGGTACCATGGAGCACACCTGAAATCCTAGTGACTCAGGAGGTTGAGGAAAGAAGATGGAAAGTTGAAGGCCAGCCTCAGCAACTTAGCAAGACCTTGTCTCAAAAGTAAAATTTTAAAAAGGGCTGGAGAGTGACTCGGTAGTTAAGCACCCCTAGATTCAATTCCAAGTACCACAAAATATGTTTAAATATATTAAGATAGACCTCACGCTAAGTTAATTACAAAAATAAAAAAACGCCCCACAGAATAACACAAGGAAATTTTTGGAGGTGATGGATATGTTTACTGCCTTGTTTGTAATGATGATATCATGAGTATGTATACACTAAACATGTGTTACTTTTTGTACTGATATACTTTTTGTACTTATTTTCTACCTCAATAATCCTTTAAAAAGTCCAATATGAAGTACACTTAGCATACATGTTTCTTTATTTCAACAATAATAATAATTCATGATCAATAGACATCTTCTGCATACTAAATATGTACTTAATATTTATTATTACATTTAAACTTTATTAAACTAATGTTGACATCATAAATCACATTTTACAAATGAAAATATTAAATGTAAGTAACAGAGGGAATTTAAACAGATGTATTCTTAGTCACTCTACTAACATCTTCTGCAGGATCTCCTTGCCCTAGAATTTTTCGTATGAGTTTTTCTGTAGCATATTACATAAGGGGTTTTGTTTGTTGTTCATTTTTGCTGTACTCTGGATGCAAGCATATTATAGCTTTTTATCAGCACTCTGATTGTTCTTCATATAGGTACAGTCATGACCAACATTATTTGTCAGCTGCAGTTATTGCCTCAACAACTATAATGACTAGAAGAAATTAATTTTATACTAATTTCCAATTTTCTTGTAATTAAAATATGATTCATAGAACTTATTAGGATACTTATCAACTTTCCCAAAAACATACAGCTAAATGAAACCAACTCCAACTGATTGCAACAGTCATTATTACTGTATCAATGCACAGTAGCTCACATAAAGTGAGAGAAAAAATTGTAAAGGTAAGTTGAAATGTTAATTTAACTGTCTAATTACAGAGAGTAAATTTTACATGATAGCCTTAAGATCCTTAAAAAGTTTGTGAGTAGGGCAGCGAAGTGCTGAAACCGGTATTTAAGAAAACTTTGCTGTTGGTATGCAAGATATTGGAAGAGAAAAAAAAAATACCAGGTAAACATCTGAAAATGAAGAATACAGGAGTAAGCATGAAGGACTTTTGAAGATAAGAAGAAGCAATATCAACTATGATCTATTGGATATTTTGCTTAAGAGCAAAGTAGAACATATGAATCCTACCAAAACAACTTCATCACTATTCCATAATCATGCTCATAACTTGTAAAACATACACATACCATCATTCCCCATTTTAGCAGTCTCATGGATTCAGCATCAATTTCCATACAGAGGAAATGCCTACCACTGGGTCTCTCCTTTAACTATTCTTGGAGTTCATACCACCTCCTCCCACACACACATACACACACACACACACACACACACACACAAACACACACAAACACACACACACACACACACACTTCAGTGTCCTTGTGGCCCCCTGTTTCAAGCAGTTTCTCCCACAAAAAGGACAGTCAACACATGTATTAAGCATCCACTGTTTGGCAACTGTTACATATTCATCATCTCAGTGAATTTTCAAGACAAGCCTGTGGCTATAAATTATTAGCCTTATATTATGAAAAAAGAAACCATGGCTCACAGAGACTAAGGGACTTGATCAAGCAACAGAGTTTGGGGCGAGTGGGGAGAATAACACTTTTATTTCAATAATATCTTACTGTTTACAAAACACACTGATATTATTTCTTTGCATCCTAAAGATAATTTTATTATAAGTGGGAGAAATGGTTTTCCAAGGACAGCTTATTAGATAAACATTATTTGAAGCTATTAGACCTGTACTTGGTTATGGAGATGTCTTTCTTCCAAAATACCAGTTTCCTCCATATTCCCTATAATTGGCAAGATCTCTACTTCCTTAGAGTGTACTGAGTCATCCCTTTAGAAACTGTTCCTTCTGTGCTTAAATCACACCTTTGGAAAGACTAAGAGGGGCAGAGATGTAACAAAAGCAGATGATTTTCTATCTATAGCTACAATATTTTTATCTATTCATGGAGAAAAACCCATCCATGTTGATGTTAACCTTTCAAGAGACCCAAATTTGCCTTATTAATCTGGCTTGATACCAATGCCTAGAAATGGATTTATCTAAAGAGTGAAGTGAGAGTTGTGCCCATTTATCTGATTGGTTCATGGAGAATCTTCTGAATCTTGCTCCCCTCCCCACAAAGAATATGCACTCAAAGCCTTACCCAAAGTGATTATTGCAGAAGGTTGAATTAAAATGTCTTACAAAAGCTTGATTTTCTCGAATCAGTTATCTTTGGATATGAAAATACCTGGAAAATTCTATGGGAAAAAAAACACAACACTTTCATTATCCATCTAATATTTTCACCTTCTCTTTCAAACCCAGAAAGATACTTTAGTGTTTACCTCGAGAGTGAATATCTGTTGGAGGGAAGGAAAGGAGTTACTTTTACCACAATAAACCTGAGTTTGAAACTCCTGAGATTGCTGGCACTGGGTCACTAGCTTTATCTACAGATAAATACTTGCACAAAACAGATAATGGCTTGTTTTGCAACTATTTTACGTATATTTCCCTCAACTCGCCAAAATGATTGTCTTTAAAACCTATGTCCGTTTTTCCCTTGCTGTTTTCCCTGTAATTCAGTTCTCTGAATAAACACAAGGGTTGAGTTACAATTAAAAATAATGAAACCCTACAGGGTCAATGTCCTTGCATGCAATAAAAGGGTGTGGGCTAATTGCAGGAGCAGAGATTTTTTTTTTCCTGCATTTTGCTTCACTTTGATTGGTGGACCACCACTTTAAATAAAGGTTTCTGATCTTCCCTGAATGAGAGGTACAGAGCAAGTCCTAGGCACAGTCCAGAAAAAAAAATTTAATCTTCTTTCCTTAGAACTATCTTGATTAGCATCAACAGGCCCTGAGAACACAGTGAATGTCAGCATCTAAGGTAAAATGTGATTTTATGGTTTCCATATATTTCCTGTAAGTTCTTTTTTCCTATCTTCAGGCAACCTTTTTAAAGAAGATTTATCTTCATTTGTCACTAGATGCTGAATAATAGCTTATTATAATCCATTAGCATGTTTCAGAGAAGACATAACTAATAACTATCCAGCTAAGCAAAAAAAGACTCAACTATAGACCTTTTCTTTTTACTATCTGTGATTATTAGTGACAGTACCTAATTTAGAAAAGTATTAGGAGATAAGCAAATTTATTTATTATTCAGATCTCCACTTATGTAAGAGCAAAGAGCCTTTTGAGCTTACAGAATAAATTTAGAAAGATAATTCATTTTAGGAGGAAAAACTGAATTGGGGGACACATATTCGACTAAAGCCAAAAGAAATTAAAATATTCCATTTACTCTAATTTGACAAAGATAAGTTTTGGCATGCTTATGTAGATAATCTAAACATCAAATGATATATCACATACATCTGCAAATAAAGGTTTATTGAAATTGTATTATAAATGTATTTCAAAATTTGTCCCAAAGTTTAAGCAAACTATAGTTTTCTGTTAATAGTACTTGATAGACCAAGATTTCACATACTGGAAGGGATTTATTTATAATTTGTTTTATGAAATGCAGCACAGAATTTAAAGAATATCCTTAGAGGTCATTCCTAAATTGTCATTTAGATTGTAACTCCATAATAAAGTGTTTAGATATTTTTAATTGCTTGCCAATTCATTCCAGGAACAACTAAATTACAAATCTTTTTGGATATTTTTTTAAAAATTGATTATTTTGGAAGAGCATAGATTCAGATTCACTTTTTTAAATGTCTTTTAGCCATGATGTAAAAATTTACCTTATTTAATTCTCCACCAATTGTGTTTTAGATTTCATTTTTCAAAATGAAAGACTTGATACTGATCCTGTGCCTCCTGGAAATGAGTTTTGCAGTGCCGGTAAGTTTATCTTCTAGAGTATACACTACATGGGTTCCTGATAGTTTGATATCAGGCAACACTGAAATGACATTGGCTAAGAGTCCTTACATGAACTCATTTGATTTAATTCATTGGTATAGATTCTACTGAATCAAAGTCATGCAGCTCACATTTCAGCTTTATTATCAAAATGCAATAAGTCCGTCACATATTTTTTCTATTCCAAACAATACTTAAAATATCCCAAAGACAATTTCTAAGTTTTATTTCATTCATTTGAAGTTAAAAGAATTAGGGGGCATCCACAATACCATGGCACAATTTTGTTATTAACTCCTTGCTATATCATTATGATATTTAATGGAAAGAGAAAATTTCTCTGAAAAAAAGTATACTTCTTCATTTTAAAAAGGACAATATTGGCCAAATTACTTTGGTTACAAAACTAAGCTAGGTAATTCTAGTTAAAGTTAGTAATTAAGTAACAAATTTACCTTTTAGGGGTGAAATTGTGTGACAGAGAGCTGCAATTTCTCAAAACAGGTCGTGGCAATGGGGCTAAGTACATGTCATCTGATCCACACAATCATATAGGGTAAGGATCTCATACAAACATGATCTCTTGGAGCACTAAACTACTTCAGTTAAGCATGCAATTCTGATATGTCAAAGACTTTATTCAGTTGCTATATGCATTAGCAATTACACACAGACTACATGCAATTACATGCACACACCATGCATCCAGCTATGAGGTAGGCACTGGAGACATGAAAATACATTAAGCCACGATCTCTTATCTTGAGGAGCTCATAGTTGGCCTCAAATGAGCTTCAGAATATTTTAATTCCTTGAGAGAAAAGGTTATAACTATTTGGGTTCCTTAAATGTTTTAAAGAGGATGAAAACTAATTATAAGAATGAAAATTTCAATTTCCACAATAAAAGTAGAATTTCTGTCCTATCATGCAAGATGAATTTTAAATGAAAGAAAAATTGAGGTTGCCACCCTCACTTAACTTTATATGGTACCAACATTAGGGTCTACCTCAACTATCTATTACATTGATACTATGAACCTTATCTGATCTATACCTTAATCAATCAGGCCCACTCTGAGGAACAAGACAATTCCTTACAATTGTCCATCAAATCAGATATTCGTCTCCTTTTAATTCCTCATTGAAAATGTATTTTTATTTACATTTATGTAAATATTGTTCCTTAATTCATGCCTTGGAACATATAGAAATATATGTTCCAGAATATACTCATATTTTGTCCTGTAGTTAAACTTATCTGTGTTATTTGTATTCTGACCAATGGGAAGGAAGAAGACTGCACTCTTACAGTCCTCTCAAATTCTGAACAGTCTGCTGTATTATACATACTCATACCCATATATACACAGGTACTCACAATCATTCTTCCTATCTAAACAACTAACCTCCTTCTCTACCCAGAATGTCTGCTACACATTTATAATGTCCAAAACTAAATTATTTAGAAAAACTTTCACCACAACTCAGAAAGTGGGATTTTACTTACATGAAAAAGTAGAGAGTAAAATGATATGGGGTACAATTCCTGAACTTCTTACTTCTAAAGGAAAAAATAATCCCAATATATTTAGTAGACATTCCATAAATATATGTAGTACAAATGAAAGAAAGAAGGCATTCCTTGACACTAGAAATGTAAATATCCAAAGAACTAAAAACTTTAAAAATCCATTTACCCTAATTCCTACTCTTCTATTCTCCATTTTGTGCCCTGGTATTTGCACATATTAATATGTAAAAATATAAGGAAGGCTTAAAAAGGAAATAATTAAATTTTTAAACTAATTTCTGCAAATACATCTATAATTTTAACAACTTTCAAGTGAACATATTGAGTATAATAGCACAGTACCTAGTGCTAGAATGCTTATTATTTAAGGAAAACCAGCCTGGATGTGATTTAAGAATACAAAACACAGATCAACAGGTTGATAGAGTAATCATCCACTAAAGATGATAGAAAACTTCTTAAAGTCCTTTGAATGGGAAGCAAGTTAGGTCTTGCACATGATTTTTCTCAATGCCGTAAACCAAAAACATGGAGGTTTGTTGAAATCACATGAAAATTCAGCTCATGTGTAACCCCTTTGCTTTTTATGTAATATTTTTAAAGAAATTTTGCTTTATCTATCTACTACTATTACTTCTATCTATTTTACTACTCTTTTGTTGCTTTACTTCTTATTGTGTTTAGCTTCAAATCAAATTTTGCTTTTAAAGTAACATAGGAGTAAGCTATGCACAAAAATAAATGATGCATAGGTAGCAAAATTATTAAATATTATGGTAATTTTCCTAAATAACTTAAATTCTTCTTAATTCTGTCCAAAATACCAATTCATTTGAGTAATAAACCAATATGGTGGCCTCTCAGCTAGCCCGTATGTACTGGGGCGATTTTCTATTCCCAACACACATTTAAGAAAGTTTCTAAGAGAACTCAAAATTATTCTTATTTCAATTTAGATGTTTCCTCAGCAACCTGGGGCACCAGGCATGGCACCTGGCATGGCTAGTTTGAGCCTTGAGGTATGTATTACTAGAGTTTGTATATATAATATTTACATTGGCATGTCTCTGATCATGGAGAAACATAATAAACTGTTTTTAGTTTTCCTAGACAGAAGTCTGTGACTGTCATCCCGAGCAGTTCTAGATACATTAGTGAGATTTATTAGAGCTTTATTCTATCATTCTGCAATTTTAAATTTGCAGGTGCTTTAAGCTTTCAAACATAATCTATATGTGAATCAAAGCAATAATTATAATTAATACCTTATATTATGTACACATTAATGTAATTATGACATTAATTAAAACACATTGCTCTATAGTCACAAATGGTTTATATTTAGCCATGCCACTTATAATTTCTTACATAATAAAGTTTTCATGAAGAAAACGTACCTGCACAAATTTCTTTGTTCAAAAAAGTACTAAAATCAGCATACTACAGGAAAACAGCCACATCAATATTTAATAGCTGCAAATTCACAATAGCTAAATTGTGGAGCCAGCCTAGATGCCCTTCAGTGGATGAATGGATAAAAAAAATATGGCATATATACACAATGGAATTTTACTCAGCAATAAAAGAGAATGAAATCATGGCATTTGCAGGTAAATTGATGGCATTAGAGAAGATAATGCTTAGTGAAGTTAGCCAATCCCCCCAAAAAAAATGTCGAATGTTTTCTCTGTTATAAGGAGGCTGATTCATAGTGGGGAAGGGAGGGGGAACATGGCAGGAATAGACGAACTCTAGATAGGGCAGAGGGGTGGAAGGGAAAGGGAGGGGCAGGGAGTTAGCAAAGATGGTGGAAAGTGATAGAAATCATTATCCAAAGTATATGTATGAAGACACAAATTGGTGTCAACATACTTTATATACAACCAGAGATATGAAAAATTGTGTTGTATATGTGTAGTAAGAATTGTAATGTATTTGCTGTCATTTATTTTTTATAAATAAATAGCATTTGCATTGTACTATAATACCACCTGTATAGCCTGTATTTCCCTTACTGCAGTTCTCATAAATAATATTTGGTCTGAATAGACAACCCCCGAAACATAGAAATTTCTGACCATACAATAAAACATTTACAGCTATAAACAGAAAGTTAGGAGTTCATAAATACCACAGTTTCCACAAGGCATTGCAAAATTTCCTTCTTTCATAACAATCTGAGGTCAGCCAGTAGGTATATGGGCTAGACGTTTATCTCACATAGAAGCTCATTTCTTCTCACTTCTCACTTTCAAGTTAAACTCATTATACTCTAAATCTTTTCCCATTAAAAAAGTAAAATTGACTTTTTGTTGATATAGTCACATTCTTAATAATCTATCCAGATGTTTCTTCCAATGTATTTTATACTTATGTTTTTGAAGTCTTTTTTCTTGGGAAAAAGTTGAAGATTGGTTTGCTTTGTTTGGTGTGTCTATTTTTCCAAATTGTTTTTCAAATTGAATGTGTTTAAGATAAAGTAATTTAAGTAGGGGGAAAGATTTAATGAAGCAATACCCTCACAATTACACTTATATTTCAGTTGAATGAGCCATTTTTCCATGTTTAATGTGACCCACACACACACTTAACTGACACTCTTCCTCCTTTAATTAATGATAAAAGCAAGCTCATTTTTTATTAGAATAACAATAATGGCAAATCCACACTTTCACATGTACATCTCTCAGTATGATTTGGGTCTACTCATTTTTTTTATTCAAGTTAACCCATCCCACACTTTATCTTGATAATGTTAAATGTCATGAGAAATCAACTGGGTCAAAAGGCAGAAAATTATAGACATCATTATCCAAAGTACATGTACTAATGTGACAAACACTAATTTTATTTTATTTTTTTACTTAATAGACAATGAGGCAGTTGGGAAGTCTCCAGGGATTGAATGCACTTTCTCAGGTAATCATATTTTCAAAAATTTCTAATTCAGAAATTAGTGGTGGTGATGATGGTGGTAGCAACAGCACCATAATTCAAAAAATTTGCTTATGCATAGATAATATCCTAAATACTGAAAAAACAAATAAGTAACTGAGTTGCCAAAAACAAAATAAGGTGGGTGGCAGGGGAAAACAAACACAATATTGAATTTTCTTTAGTAAAAAAAAAATCCTGGGCTGGGGGTATAGCTTAGTGGTAGAGCATTTGCCTACCACATGGGAGGCACTGGGTTCGATCCTCAGCATCACATAAAAATAAATAAATAAATAAAGGTATTGTGTCCTATCTACAAGTAAAAAAAAAATTAAATCCTTTTTTACATTATCGGTTTTATTATATAGCCCAAAACACATGTGCTTAAAAAGCTGAATCTTAAACAAATTTATAGCAATACTGCAGTCTTACCCAGAATGAAATTTTTGTCTGTTGGAAGAGAGAATTTACATTAACCAATGTTATTTTTACTTTTTATTTGTATTCCATAAGATTGAAATGTAAATATGTTTGTTTTGTTTTTTCTCCATGTTTATAGTTTTCTAGATTTGGCTTTGGGAAATCACTTAATTCTTTGTGGTTGCATGGTCTCCTTCCACCACATTCCTCTCTCCCGTGGCTAAGACCAACAGAACATGAAACTCAACAGGTAAGCATGAGTTTGTTTGAAATTTCAAGCTTTAAAATCTTTCCCCACTTGTCTTCTTTATGTTATATTAGAAATAAGAAAACTAGCAATTTACCATTAATTATTCTAATACCAAATAAAATAAATCTTATAACAACTGTTATTAATTAGGAAATTTAAATTTTCAACCCATTTGCATATGTATTTCACATAGAAAGATAATGGCCTCCAAAATACAAAAGATCTGGGGCTTAGGTTGTGGCTCAGTGGCAGAGCACTTTACTAGCTCATGTAAGGTACTGGGTTCAATCCTCAGCACCACATAAAAATAAATAAAGGCATTGTGTCCATCTACAACTAAGAAAAAAATTTAAAAAATACAAAAGAGCAATGTTAAAATTATTAGCAAGGATAATAGATAAACAATCCTTGGAATTAAAAACAGATTATAGTTTGGACTATTTTCATTTTTAAAAATTATCTAAATATAATTCCCAAAGGCTAATTTCAAATGATGACAAACATCCTTGTTAAAACACAACAAACCCTATAGAAGTCAATAAATATACCAATCTGTTAATCATTATTTGTTGGGTGCCTAACAAGTATAAAGTTAATCAAACTGTGCTTTGGGATAAAAATAAATACATTTTAGAATGACTCCAAGCTTATAACATTTCAAATGTTATGGAAGACAACATATTACAAGGTGCTAAACTGCATTGTAGAAGTAATAAATAGCATGAGAGTTTACACATGTGCAATAGTTGAAGAGGCAAAACAGAGCCAATTATTATTAGACTTCCATGCCAGTTTGAGGAATTTGTAACTAATCTACAAGAAATATGGAGCCACTCAGCACAAGTAATTTCTAAAAGAATCAAACAAACATGGTGGTTTTGACAGTATCTTTTAATTCCAGATGGTCTTCCTCATCAGGAGCATTATAGGACAGTCCACATTTAGTAGTCAATAAATTATGATAATGGTGATTGTTTCTTCACTTGAGTAATTTTTCCAAAATGAACTTCATGATGAAGGTATTTGATGTGTATTTTATTTAGTTAGCTCTTATCTTTTCATTAACTCACAATTTATTAAGTACCTACCATGTGCCAGACACTTGTTAGGAACTAGGTTAATATGTTAAATACAAGAGCTATAAAGATAAAATACATTATTTTTTCTCAGTTACCAGGAGACCAAAGATTTATGACAAATAATTATAATGCAGTGAAAGTAGTAAAATAAAAATACACACAGGTAGTCATAGCACCCAGAGGAGGAAATGAATGATTCATTCCATTAGGAAGTTCAAGTAGCTTTCCATCTCCCAGAGCAATGTTTATCCCAAAGGAGGTAGAAGAAACAAACATACCCAAAATCTCTTCAAATAAAATCAGTTCTGCTTCCTATGTAAATACTGCTTTAAGTCCCCTAACATTCCTTCCAAACAAAAACCACCCAAGTCTTTTGCTGTAGAAATTCTAGGCACCACATCCCTTCCTGACACTCTTTTCAAATTTTTCTACAGTATGAATATTCTTTGCCTGTGCATCCCCCACCTCTCCCATCACAGCCATCCCTGCAGCCTCAACAGTCAGGACTGAAACCTTTCCTCCAGCCCACTGCTGCAACCGCTATCCAGGCAACAGCCCAGAAGGGTGGTCCTCAACCTCCAATGCATCCAAGGCAGCTGCCCCTGCAGGATGGAGAACCGCCAGCAACTGAGCAACAAGTGGCACCAACAGAGAAACCACCAACATCTAAGGTAATTCTTTTCTCTATATTCAGATCAGGATCACCTACTAACCTAATGAAAGAAAACTAGTTAGCTGGCCAATTCTAAAAATCGCAGCCTTCAGAACTAATACACGAAAATATAAATGTTATTGATCAGCCTTTCATTTTGAGGACTATTTTTTAAGTAAAACATAAATATTCATTTGTACCCTTTACCACCAGAGATAAGACACATTCAAAAAATATTCTGTGCTTTTAAAACTTGGCTTCTTAGTTGCAAAAGGTGAAAGTTTTCATAGGATACAGGGCAGCCCAGAGAAGTCCAGGCAATCTACCATCATTTTTTCATTTGTTAGAAAGACAGAGGAGAGGATTAATCCTTCAGCATAACAAGTAGGATCTTACATTATAGCCTCTCTGCAGAGATGAAAACCAAAAGTACAGAAGTACCTTTTAATAAGGTATCTTTTTTAATAGATTTATTTATTTTTGCATTACAATTCTTAATATGCCATTATAACATAATTTATCTTATCTCTGATAAAGTATATTTAATAGAGAAAAAAAGCAATGGACAGAAAAAAAGGAAGATATACCATGTAACTATTATGCTGGAGGTATTTAACATTCTCCCATGTCTCCCTGCCTACAATCTAGAAAGATAGATGTACAACATAAAGGTCATATTATAAAATATATATATGATCATCCCTTTTAATAACTATAAAGATAGATATGATTATCCCTTTTAAGGACAAGATAGACTTAAAGAAATTACAGAATTTGGCCAGGATTACATAAAATCAAAGTGGCAGAGCCAGAAATCAAACCAAGTATGTTCCAATTCCAAAATTCATTACTTTTTATTCTGCAAGATATAGCAAATTCTGGCCAGACACACACACACAATAAAATTTAAAGGAAAAGTGAATTTTAGATCTAGCAAATTGTCCTGCCAGGACACTTGAGTCACATTAGTAAAAGACAATTGTAAATTCTTGGGTCATCCCCTCAAAAGACTAAAAAAAATAAGAGAGAAACATATTTTAAATTGTTTTATTGTAATCGTAAATAAGTGTCTGTTCAGTTTGTTGATTTTGACTGGTAATTTTAATCCTTATCTATGATATAGCTCCTGGTAATGGATTTTGCTGGTCCACAGGTTCCATCAGTAAGTATAGATTTCACTGAAATACTTTCCTAGGAAAAATATATCTGTATTTCAAAAAAAATTTAACGAAATTTTTAATTGTTCCATTTGTCCATAAATATAAAGTATTATAGGTTCTGTTGTTTCCTGAAACGTTAAGTACCAATTCTTCATAGTAATCCATCTGAAAATGTATTTCATATAATTCTTATATATTACTGTAGTGGGATTTGCCTATGTAAATTATTTGTTTTATTTTTATCACTTAAAGTTGTTCCATATAGCCCGTGTGATATCTCGGGGACCACTGCCACAAAACAAACCATCTGCAGTAAGTTTGTTTGTTTTTAAAATATAGCTTCTCTGTTTGCAATTTGATTTGAAAGTTCTTTCCTTGGAAAAAGCATTTTGTGATAACCATTTTATTTTGTGTAGCTTTATCCAGGAATGTTTTACACATCTTATGGAGCAAATCAACTGGTAAGTTCATATTCTATTAAAAGTATATTTAATTAAATATTATCTTGAGAGCTAAAATTATAAAAATCCAGACCTCACACAAGATATTGCAAATAAATATTCTCTAAGTGCCTACATTATCAACTGAAATGGTAAGGAGGCACAGTTCCCTATTTGGATAATTCTGGCCAGACACAACAATTAGCATTAAGGAAAAGTGAATTTTAGATCTGACAAATTGGCTACATTTTTTCAAGAATGACTGGACTTTCTGTTCTGTCCCTGGATACTGCATTAATATTAAGCCTTAAGGAAATGCTAAATGACTTTTAACTTTGTTTTAGTAGATAAGAAGGTAATAAAAGGCAGCTGGTTCATAATATGACGCACTGTTTCTCTTTGAACAGAATGCTCCTACCAGACTTGGCATGATGAGTTCAGAAGAAGTGGACGTAAGTAATGTCTTCTAACTCTTCTTGAAATAGTGACCAAGAAATAACAGTCATAGATGACTAGCTACAAAAGACACTAACCAGGAAAGTAGTCAAAAGATCACAGGACTTAGATTTTTCTACTCCCAAACCAGAAGCTTGACTCTGAAATAGTATCAAAAGATTTCATCGCATTTCCTATAGAGGAATTCCTATGTTTTTAAATTTTTTCTTATAGTTTTAGAAGGACAGCATGCCTTTATTTCTTTGGTTTTTTATGCAGTGCTAAAGATCGAACCCAGTGCCTCACACATGCAAAGCAAGTGCTCTGCCACTGAGCTACAGCCCTTGCCCAGGAATTCCTATATTTTTTAATGATAACCATTCTTGAGTATAGGGTTCTGCCTCATTCTTTGTGTATGATCAGAAAAGACACCTCTCCTGAAAGGGCATCAGCAATGAACTGCAAACACTTTTGTATATGCAGTTCATACACAATCCCTTTATTTCTAGGACTATTTAATCTCCTAAACACTCAATTCAATAGCAGCAAAAAATAATTCAGATCACAAAATTAAAAGATCAAAAAGGAAAAGAAAATTAGCCAAGTTTAAAATTTGATTATTATAAACTTTAAAGTGCCTAAGTCAAGGATAGTATATTCTTATATTCACATCCACATATGAAGAGTACAGTTTAATATTTGAAATCAATAAACCCACACATCTTAACATTTTTTTCTCAGAAATTCCTGTTACATATTTTAACAAAGATAACAAAACAAAAGTTATATTAAATTAACAAGGTATTGTCAACTATATATACTATCAAATTAATAAATATACACAAATGCTATCACTAAAAGAAAACTCACAGCTCAACATTTTTGAGTGCCTTTTGTTTGCTATATGCATAGAAAGATACCATAAATAAGATAAATAAGATTGCTTTTACAGAATGAATAGAAAAGACAAGCACGTGCAGATAATGTGAAATTCCTAGGATAAGGGCAGTCACTGTCTTATTAGGGAAAGAAAGAAGAAGAAAGGAAATATAACTAACCCAGACCAAGGATTCCCACCAAGAGCTGAGACTCAGAACAGAGTCAGAGAAGGCAGAAGTAAAGAGTGTTGAATCTATATAACATGAACACAACTGGCTGCAAATTAAAAATTCAAATTAAGTGCTAATTACCATCTTATACTATCAATCAAGTTATTTATATTCTGACTCATTCCCAAGAGATTTTGTAGTGGCTTATGAAAAACACACAATAAAATAGCCAAAATAAATTGAAGGTAAGATTTAAAGTAAGTCAAAACTGTAAGGAAATGAGAATACAAACATGAGTCACACATTGCTGAACACCACAAACATCCCAGATTACCTTGTAGTAAAGGTAGAAAAGAAACATAAGTTATGGAATTCTATTTTAGTTCCTTCAGACAAATCAAGCTTTTTTAAAAATTATACTTGGTTAGAGGAAAGGAGAGAAGGAAAGAAAAGGAGAAAAAGAAAGAAAAATTCTTACATGGGGCTTCATTCATTTGAGGAATACTTTGAAATGCCATTGACAAGATCTTCCAAAACATTCTTCAACAAACACAGTTACAGATTTCAGTTTTTGTTTGTTTTCTGATGGTTGTAGCCATTTCAGCTGTTTGTTGTTTTCCTAAAATTAAATTCAAACTAACTTTTTCTTTCTTCTGCCCTGTGCCTGCTGCTCTCCTCACCCTCCAGCCAAGCATGGTAAGGAGACTCTATCTACCTTTCATCGAAGTTGCCTTCCCCCACTTAGATATGTGCAGAATCCTTTCTGTTATATTTTAAAGCTAGATCAATGAGAAATATGTTTACACAAAGCTGTCAGCCAGTTCCCTGTTCTCTATCAATTTTTTCCTAAATTCTCAGAGAATATGATCAGGTATAATTGTGTGACATTGCTAATAGAATGTACTAACGGTTTCCTTGATAAATGTTGGTTTTTCCAGGGAGGAAGAGGAGGCCCCATGGGCTATGGAGCCATGTTCCCAGGATTTGGAGGCCTGAGGCACAGCCTTAGGAGAATGTCTCCCAATCCAGCCATGGGTGGAGATTTTACTCTGGAATTTGACTCCCCAGCGGGAACAAAAGGTCCTGAGAAGGGAGAAGGAGAGGCACAAGCCTCCCCCATGCAGGAGGCCAACCCAGCCAATCCAAAAAACCCAGCACTCCTTTCACAGATAGCACCTGGTGCTCATGCAGGACTCCTTGCTTTCCCTAACGACAACATTCCCAACCTGGCAAGGGGCCCTGCAAGGCAGAAAAAGGGACCCCTCGGGGTCACTCCATCAGCTGCTGACCCACTGATGACCCCTGAATTAGCTGAGGTTTATGAAACCTATGGTGATGATGTTACCACACCCCTGGATACAGGAGAAGCAACCATGGATACCACAATGACCCCAGACACTCAGCAAACATCAATGCCAGGAAACAAAGTCCACCAACCCCAGATGGTACATGATGCATGGCGTTTCCACGAGCCCTGAACACCTTGAGATATCAACTACTTTCTGTATGCACAAGCTTCCCAGTTTTGTCCCCACAGTCTACCTTTTTGCTAAAACACTTAATACCTTCTACAGCAAAGGCATTAAACACGCTAAGCATGTATTAATAAACACAAGTGGCTAGAAATAGTGTAGGTTCCCTTCTTGCTTTCATTCTCTTATTGAAATAAAATGTGTTGACTGTCTCTGTGATTTAGAAATACTATTAACAGCAAGTCTAAGAGTCTCAGCATTTGATAATCTTGTTTCTTAACTCTCTTCAGCATTATAGGATTTCTCCTACTAGCATGACACTATTATATCCAGGAAATGCAGCACTGCTTTCTTTTTTCTAAGCAAGAAGCACATAGTCTCAGAATTCAAAGCTGTTTCATTTAAACTTGATTAAATTGGAATGCGTAAAGAACCTCTCCCTGGTATTACTGGGTTTCATACATTGGATTTTAAATTCTTATTTTTAGAGTATTTTATTTAATCTAAAACAATTAGCCTATTTTAAATAAAGATTTTTTTCTCATTGAAAATATGAGGAATTGTATGCTTATTATTTACATATTTGAGTAGTTAAGAAAAGCATACTCATCTCTTACCTTTGCTAGTCATTAATTCATTTTATTCAATTCATTTTTTTTTCAAAGTTTAACTGAATATCTACCTAAGTCCTACACAGTGTGCAAGGCACCAGGCATACAGTCCCTTCCTTCAAAGATAACAAGGGGCATGACCAAAATGTAGATAGAGATTCACAATGTTAATTTAAAAAAACAACCACTCTAAGCCAAGATCAGCTACTTTACATATATTTTCTCACATCAATATTGCAAAATAGATACCCTCAACCCTATAGTACACATTAAAAGTGCTATGAAAAGACCAAGCACAAAGTGCTCTTTGAAATCACAGAGAAGAGACACCTAAACCAGCATAAGTGGCATGGAAGACTAGGAGGAATCAGACAAGTATTCTCAGAACAGTATCAAAAACTGCAGAACAAAGTCTCCAAGAGAAAGAAATACAAGAAAAGACATGAAATGAGTTCAATCCTATGAAATATAATATAGGAAAGGAGGTATAGAAAGTGACCCTTGCTTGTGACAAAGGTCTGATATGTGTATGTATGGAAAATATGCCTAAATTAAGAGATTATAAATCCAGATTTGGTTATCCCTGAAAATTGGCCTCCTATTTTACTCTCTCCACTTTCTACTAAGTTGCCCAACCCATTCTTAGATTCCATGGAACTCAGACTCTCCTCCATTCCCTGATGAAGACTTTAGGAATACAACCAAGGAAAAAGATCCCTGAGATGCTTCCCAACCTGGCATACTTCAGGAACCTTAGCAAGAGCATGTTGCCACAACTTACTGCCTTCCTCTTTTTAGGCAAGGCTCTGTTCTCCCCATGACTAGAGCTAGAAGAGAGATGCAGAAGACAAAAACTCAATTTACCTATCTTGGTGACTCCAGCAAAGGTGAAAAAGCAGGAGAATGACTTCCATAGTAGCCAACAGATACTCACTTAGACCCATTTTAGACTACCAAACAATGTCCAAAAAAAACATGGTAAGAGATATACTGACAGATCTGTGTTCAAACCTAGACATCACATCTGAAAATCGATGAGCCTTTAGATGTGAAACTTAATCTGTGTGTGTGTGAGTGTGTGTGTGTGTGTGTGTGTGTGTGTGTGTGTGTGTGAGAGAGAGAGAGAGAGAGAGACAGAGAGACAGAGAGACAGAGAGACAGAGAGACAGAGAGTGATTTCTACAGTGGGGCTACTATCTGGCTCACAGGGTTAATGTAAGAATAATATGAAATAAAGTACACAGATGAAATTACTGAATCATAACAGTGACCTTCTTTTCCAGCTGATCCATTTCATAGCAAAAATGGATTATTCCCATAATCTAATGAATTTGTGTTTATCCATGAACACTATACACATTGCCCTTTTGGTCCTTCTTTATAATTCATATCATGCATTTGTGAGACCACATGTGCTGGCAAATGTTGTAATATCAAGGGTCAAAATTTGCTTCTGCTATTAGTAGGCTGGGAGCCTAACAGTGGTAAAAGTTCAATCAATTTTGGTGAGGAGTAGTATCATATAGAGCCCTTGAATGATCTCTCTCCCCAACACCACAATCATTTCAAACACTAGCACATTGAACAGACAACAAGGTAGCCAGAGAAAGAGGCTAAATATCACTATCAGAGACATCTTAATTATTGAGCATTCCCTCTAGCAGACATTTTCATGAGAAAAAAAATATCCTCATACAATGTCCCATCCTGAGAGGCCTATACAAATAGACTTTTTTCTGGACCCTCCTTACCACCAATCTTCCAATTTTATTCTTTCCAAATCCCTGGTGACTAATATGGAGTACCCTGATTAAGTATAATTCTGTACCTTAGATCATCTCTCTTTCCACACAAAATTAAAAAACAAGATACACCATTTAAAGTTCTGCCCCTTGAGTACATTGACTTTGCACTTTCAGCTGATTCCACACTACCCAGGCAGAAATTCATGAGACAGGAACACACTCTTTCCTCTCCATAAACTGGTTGCAGGAAGGGTGGCCATATAAGTTATTCTCTACTGGGACATTTTTGACAATGAAAAGAAGTGTCATCAATGATTATGCTGGACAACAAGTATAAACTAGTACTACCTAAGACAAACCTACTATCTGGATATTCTAGTCTCATGAAACTCCTATGACACATGAGTAGATTGAAGAAAAGTCATCAAAATTATAAATAATAAAAAATGTGGAAGTCTGAACAGTTGCTTCTGCGATTTAATTATGCCCTCCAGACCAGGTGTCATATTTATCATTTCCACTGTTGTCATTTATGTTCATTTTTACTATGATTCAATGAATCATATACCAACTAGTCCAAGATGGGTATGTCAGATGGAAAAATCACTTGACCTCCCATTGTCTCTATTCTATTAGAGTCTAATAAAAAAAAAAGCAAGAATTATTTTCACAAAGAAAACCTTACAAGTTCTATGTTGTTATTCTCCTTTCATGGTTTGTCATAGATCCTATACTGCTACAGATACTTCTAACAAATTTGAGCCTTGTGGGCCACAATGCTCAAGTGGTAGGAAAGCTTAGGCTGGATCTTTTTCATGCTTTACGTCCTACTCAAAATTGTCAGCCTTTCAAGTTATACAGTATGTGATATATGTTGTTTTCAAAACACAGAGAAATCCAAGAAGCATTGCATTTCATTTTTTGTATAGGATAATATAAGAAACAACAACTTGCCAACAACTTCCGCTCTCCCAGTATGCCTCAAACTACCCCTAGAAATGCCATCACAGTCCACAGTCCACAGACTTTTACAGTATTTATGTTCCACCCTCTGACTTTTTACTCCATGTTAATCAAATCCTGTTGCATTAAGTCTTCAATGCCTGGACAGTCATGAATGTCCTCTGGAATATAAAAATGATCAAGTACCCTCAGGACCATATTAGGACAAACTGCAGGATAGTTGATATAATCCTAAAGCAAAACATTAAAAACTGGTATTGTTTGTATACTTTACAATCAAACTGCTTCTGATTTTTATTGTGGATTGGAATAGAAAAAAAAGCATCTGCCAGATCAATAGATATATACAAATGCCATAGGCTACATTATTTGCTCCAAGAAGGTTACATCTGCAAGTACATCTGCAACTGGCAACACTACCTGATTGAGTTTGAAACATTCCAATTTAATACCTCATAATCCATTTAGCTTTTTACTAGTCAAATAATGAGTTAAATGGGGAAGTGTTAGGACATATTTCACTGTATCTCTCAAGTCTTCCATGTTAACACTAATCTCCACATTTCACCCATAGTACTTACTACATTGTTAGGAACAAAGAAGAAGGAGTATAGTTCCACTTGTTTCTTCCCACTACAGCTTTCATTCAACTGATGAAGGAATCACTGTGGAATCCTGCCAATTAGTAGGTACAACTATTCTTACCATATATTCTGGGACTAGGGAAATTACCACATGATAGATCCACAAGATCCACTGTTAGATGAATAAGAATCAAATTTCCATCAGCACTGTAACGGATTGTTCATCCATTTTTTCTAGAGTCCTGTGACCAACTAATGATCCAAACAGAACACTACTTGTCAAATATCCTGATTATCACTCCATTATAGTTCAGAAAGAACTACGTTATGGGGACTAGTCACCTCTGCTGGGCCAAGAAGTCGGGGACATGTCCTCAGATGCCACATCTCTTCCTTGGCAATAGCCTCACTACCACCCAATTGGTAGATTCATGTGACCTTTTAATAATTGAATAATGTCAAAAAATGATCCAAAATTAAAAGTGACTTCTCTATCAAGCAGTAGAAAAATTTTCATACCACCATCCAGTAGCTGAATTCAGTTTGGGGCAGAAGTATAACAAGTGAAACAGAAAACTGAAGATAAGAAAATCTCACTTTGAAACTATCTTTCTCCTTGACTACTCCTCACCCCCTATCTTTCTACTTGTTTAAATTTTGTTCTGAATTTATAAATAGTGAAGACCAAAGAAATAGAACACACATTTAGGAGCTTTATACTGAAAAATTGCCTTAAAACCTGCTATTCTGTGGGGGTGAAAGTATCAAGTTTCTGTCTGATTCTTTTCTAAAACAAGATTTCTTATATCTTTATCTTTTAAAGATTAAGACAAATATGAGCATATCTGCACATGTTGTGTAAAAGTAACAGCATTGGTGTTTTAAGAGCTTTGTTGAGTGGTTGTTTTGCCACTGGAGTTTACTACTCAGAAGATCTTTTCTAGAGTTTTAATATTATATTTTTGAACTATTACTTGGATGGCACTACTTGTCCATACATGAGGCCAACTGTCTTTCTTGCTATTACCTTGTTATAGTTTGCACTCACTGTACAAATGTCCATGTATTACCTATTTAGGCAGCATCATGGTGCCATTATTCAAGGAAGTTGAATGTGGTGAACATAAATATAGTTCTTTTCCCTGAATCCGATTTTCAAATGTGACAAATACTTTTATGTTTCCCACCCCTTTTGGAAGTGTGTGGTTTAGGGTAAGTTACTGAGGGGACTGAGAGTGACAGCCACATAAAGCAGGGCTTCTTTGTGTTTCATCACAAGGCATATTATCATCCAAACTATTTCAGTACCTTTTTTAACATGAAAATGTCATGTGATATCCAAGTAGTAGATTCAAGGAGTTCAGAAAACAGAGGTTATACTCTAGGATCCTGTCCATGAGGTTGGATGCCTCACCTTGCTGAAAACAGACAATGGGCCTAAATGTAATAGCATGACTCTGTTTCTGTTTGGCTAAATTTTGTAATACTCCAGCCAGTTAAGTCACCTCCAGCCCGCTTTGAAAAATATGGAGAGCACCCACCCCAAAAAAGAAGGTAGATTTGCTGTACCATATGCACCTCAGATAGAGGATTAATCTCCAGGATATACGAAGAACTCAAAAAACTTAACACCAAAAAAATATA